TGTACCGTTACAATTTTGCAATGGAAACTGTTTTCACACCTGTTGTTCTTTTAGGAATGCATGATTTCTGCACGAGGAACAAAGTGATCCAAATGGTCCGATTAGCCACTCTGCTTTTAGTCTCCACTACAGCGGTGTGTCATTACATCTTTTTTCTTGCAACTGAGCTAATTACTATGCAGTAGACCGCTCTCAAGATAGAGTAAACACTGCGGTTGCCAGTCGGTTTTACTAGAGTAGTAGGGAGCTTGTTTTATAATCACCGATCTTATCCTAGTCCGGTCTTCCACAGAGCACAGGTGCTGGTCCATTGCCATGCGAATCTGAAAAAAGAACAAACATGGGTATATAGCTTTATGCTAGGTGTGCGGCATTTCCTTGATAGTTGTCTCGCTCCGCGTCATCGCGCTTCGGCTGCATTTCGAGTATAACCCCTCTACCAGCGAAAATAAGAACTGGAAGAAGTGGTAGATAATTTTTTTCAGCGAATCACCTAGTAGCAATTTGGGTGTGAATGTTTTAGTTCCCCTCTCTTAACGAACGTTTTTCAGGTGTTTTCTTTTGGGATGGTCGGTTTTTCGGTACAAACACTAGCAGAACTGGAATTTGCCACCAGTATCATCGGTAGCCGAGAACTTGTTACGGCTGCCTCAGTGATGTTAGCAGTTGGAGCATTTGCATTGGTAACGGCTCCTCTTGGTCTACTTGCAGCCATGGCCACATATTCGCCGGTCACCCTGACGGTAAGAGACTCTACTGCAAATTACTGATATTTACTTACCAGAGTTTATACTTCAGTACGCGATCCTGATGTTCTTTATATGCCTCCTGAGCATCGTTGGCTGCTGCTTCGGTTTCCGCTTACATAAGGAGGTACACAAGACAGAATGAAAACCTTCGGTGAAATCGGTTGGGATTTGGTACTTTCCAGATCGATTCCGGAGTAATTCTAGAATGGATGAACTCAAGTTTGCAGGCTGAATACGGTAATCCCTTCGCAAATGATCTGACTCTAGCATGGGATCAGTTACACGAAAAGGTAGATTGACCTCCTGTACCATACCGATTTAGAGAACAGTCCACGAGTTCATAATAGTGTATTACAGTATGCTTGTTGTGGGATCACCGATCAGACTAGCACCACAGACTGGTTGAACTCCTACTGGTTCATTACCTACGACAGGTGGGTACGGTTGTACAGTCGAGAGGGGCCAGTAGGTACTGTTGTTGTCAATTCGTCGAAGTTGGGCTCTGAGCTTAAATCCGAGATATCGTACCCTTTCATCTCCGAGCCCCTGGCTGAGCATTATGTCAAGCGACAGTCATGGAACTCGCTCCAGACGAAATTACTACTACAACAACAGCACATCGACTTCTACCCCTCAAAAAAACTGTTCCCCTCAACAGCTGTAGAAATTCCAGATGGCCGAGGCCGCGGGTACCAACGAGCTGTTGTTCGACATGCGAAACAAAGGTAAGCATTTCCTTTCCAGACCCTGGATGGGGTGTATTTTAGACCCTGGATGTTCCCCCTGGACTACATTTTTTCTATGAATATAAAAAAGGGCAGAAAAATACAAATTTCACTATTATTTCAGGGCTGCTATGAACCGCTGCATGAGGATTTGCAGTACTACTCAAAGGGAACGATATTGGTCTCGTCTTTGATGGCTTTCTTGTGTCTGTTGAATGCTTCCTTATGTTTTTTCACACACGAATCTCTATTCAAAAATCGAATACACGACGAATCTCTGATCCCGTGAATTAGGCGTTTACATGCACCTTGTTTCTGCAACTACGCTAATTGTTGATCTCTCACACTGATGTCTCAATTTCACTGCTTAATATTGTGTCGCAAATCTCACTGGGTTTCTAATCTGGTCACATACGAACCGGTTTTGTTACATGAATATCAATGTTATATTTGATGATTTCATAAAGAAATCTATCATTTTTTCATGATTATCATACCGATTACCGCATCAGGTATAACTGAGGGTAGAAAGTGATAGAAGTTATCAGTGGTACACCAAAAAGCCAGACGAAGTGGGAAAAAACTTTGTGAGTGAGTGGCAAACGAAAAGGAATCAACAATTTACCTTAAGTCTACGGATAAATAAATAATAAATAAAAATTAGAGTACCGGTAAGTACCAGAGCTGTTTCAGAGATACGAATTTCCCTAGTCCAAGTGTGGCTGGCTTGGTTCCCGTTCACCTGAGCTACCTAGGATGCACTCGTTCAAATGAAGTCAAATATTGCGGAATGTACTTTAGCAATGTTAGGTTGTTATGAGTACTGGATCATGCTTTTCTTCGCTGCCGGCCTTCTCACTATAGCAACTGAATCATCTAGGGAACGATTGCCAACCAGTGAATGGAGAACCTCGGGAAAATGGGCGCTTTCAGGGGTATGGGCGAGTGGTCCGCGACAGTCTGGTCTGCGCGCGGCAGTTTGCGCAGCGGAATTCGTGGCTATTCGAACGACTCTGGTGCCTTTTATTAGGGCACAAACTTGAAGTAGAGTAGTTTAGCATGGTCAGCCGATCCTACTTATTTGTTCTACTTCAAATTTGGTCCCCAACAATAAGCACTAAAGCCGTCAAAATCGCTACGAACTTCGCCGCGCAATTTGCAGAGCGCAGCTCGAATCGCACGACTGTACCATCCCCCAGGGGAGGGATGGGAGAGGGAAGGGCAACAATCTCTCATCATATAAGTCAGCCCGAGTTGTCTGTTATTTATTTTACAAATTGATATAAAAAAGCAATTTGATCCCCTAGAGTAGAAACAGACTCGGTCGAAAAGTTGAAGGACTCCAATTTTGAGTGCAAATTGCAAATAAGTCTTTAATATAAATTTATAGCAGAAGGATGTTTATGAGAAAGATTTACTGAGTGGAGCAACACGTATGACAACAAAAATACAACAATAATTGTACCCCATATTAATGAACAAATCAAATTTTAATTAATTTTCTTTTTTCGATCGTAGTTTTTTACTGTTTCCATCCGCAGTAATAACAATGGACGGTATCGACGATCGGTGGCAAATTGAAAGTAAGGATTGAATAAATAAATAAGTAACAATGTATGTAACTAGGAGGATCATGGCTAGAAAGTCAAGATTGAGTGTGAGCAGAGGATTCACAGGTGTCGCACCGTAGAAGCCCGAACTACGGTGTCGTCCTACCACTTCAATATAGTGTAGAGCTGTTTCGAATGGTGTCGACGGTCGTGATCGGAAATCTTTGGACATCTCTTTTGCCACTTTGGCGAACCTAAAACTTATAAAAAATAAAAAATAAAGACTTCCACTACAGACCCTCTTTGAAAGCCTCTTGCATGGTACCAGAATGCGCCATGAATTCCCTGACCATCCAAGAATATGGACTCCTTTCTCTCATGAATCCCCTTCCATACTGTCAACAACTAATTGGGGACCCATTTTGTGAACTATCTTTGCTATAAATTCAAGGAGGGATTTGATCCCCGGACCACGATAATTTGCCACGCGTCACTACCACATCTCCACCCCTCTTTAGGAGGCAGTTCCTCGAGCCTTTACCCAAACTGTTTCTGGATCACTTACCTGCTTCCTTGAAGTACGGATTTCATCGTGTTCAACAATTTATCTTCTCTCAGCTCTTTTTTACTGATCATCAGTCCAAGTCCCTGAAAAAACAGCAGTTGAATAGTTATGTTTTATTTGGGGTCCACCCCAAAGAGCGTGAACGGCCAAATCAACAAAAGGACCATGGGACTGGCCAGCCACATAGAAAATTCGGAGAATCCTTGAGATGAAAACAAACTTTTGCCACAACTTTCTTCAGGTTATGTCTGTTACTTCCATAAAGCGGTATTCCAACGATCGGTACTCCATGAGCTACAGCTTCCATAACTGATGACATTCCACCATTTGTCACTAACAGTTTACAGGATTTGTGAGCTGAAAGTAGGAAACGTAGTCCGGTAAAGGGGGGAAAGTCACAGAGTGAGGTGTGTTGTCTGACCCAGCAGATCGTTTTGAGGGATAAAGGCTGTTAGATTGATGTGAGACGGTACATTGCCCTCCGTTACATTTTTCAGTTCGACTTTGTGTCCAATTCGCCAATAAATGCGGTAGGTGGTGAGTTTCGACAGTGCTCCCAAGATAGCTTTTGCCTGAACATAAGACTTTTCACAATATTTTGCAACAATAGGAACACCATGAGAGCTGAGACGATGACATAACATTGGGAGATTTTTTTTTCGGAAATACCGAAACTCAGTGAGGCTGTATGACGAAAAATTGCGAATCGAATTCAAAAAGAGGGATTGGAAGAATCTAATGTTTTATTTACTATTTCGTAAATCAGACTTCATTGTTCCACCGAAAATTTCCAACTGATCCGCTCACCAAACCCAGTTGAAGGTGATTGAAACGAAGTAGGGCATTGGAGATAGACCAACTGATATTCAAATATTTCAAGGATAGGTTCCTTGATGGGAACGAGTAGGTTATTCGAAGATTCAATAGAATATTTTAGAAAATAAGGTGCTGGTTTAAATCCTGTCGTCGTTCAGACATTTTGTTCACAACTTTTTCTGATCCCTAGTGATAACTGTATTATCCACGGATATACATATACGTTCTCGAAAAAACAATGTTCTTTTTGTCTAGTTTCGAGATTCATGAAACATTCAAACCTTAAAAAACGCCAAAAAAGAATATTCCCTTAAATTGCAGAGATTAGAAAATGAAAAATTGGGGCAGAAATAGGGCTTTTACCATATTCTAGCAATACTTGCTTATAATCAAATAGCTCATAATGACGTATTAAGGGCTCTTACCTGCGATTCTGTCATATAAGCGTGATTAGCCTGTGTGCCAAGGCTGACAACAATCAGACCATCCTGAGCCGATTCAATTGATGTATTCCATGGCTAAATTGTACGTGTAGTGCGTAGAACGGAGTAATGTGGAAAAGAAGAAATCCTAATGCCAGAAATCAAAAATGAAGGGCAATTCTGGATGCGCCACGCTCTAGACTACACCTTAAAATCAGAGGAGCACTCAGATTAGTGCACTAGGTGTTTATACAATATGTGGATAGACTTTTAGCTTTTCAACTCATTGTATAAACGAAACAGATTAGTTATTACGACTTCCCAAAGTCCGTTACTGTACAACTGGTTGGCTGCTTGCCAAATTGAAAGATAACTACTAGATAACGCTTTTGCAATGAATAAAAGTATTGTTTGGTCCTTGAAATGAAACCAACCGCAAATAAAGGTTTGGGCTGGTCCACATGAAGTCCACCAACGGGAATAATCTTTGGAGAAAGTGCTCGTGGGAATTCCAATAGAGGATCAGTGTTAGCAAAAAATAGTGAGCTTGAACGTAAAAGTTCATTTGAGCTGGGGAAGTTTGGAAACCTGGAATGAGCACTTGGTCACAATCATCAATCGAGGGAAGCTTACCGAAGCTCAGCTAAAAACAAACTTTTTCTTTAGGTAGTAGTCATCAGCGAACATTGACGTAATGGGATCATCCAGTTGCCGGAATTTTTTCGAAATTAGCTTTGCCAAAAGAGGTATTCCACTTTGAACCAAATACTCTCTCATGTAACACAGGCCATTTCGGAATCGACTGAGAGCGTGATGAGGTAACTGTAAGAAAGACTTCACTTTATCAGAATCTGAGTCTCTCCATCTTTGCCGTTTATTAAGATACTGAAATTTATCCTAGCATTTTAGTTCCTGACTTCACTAGCTCTTTTAATTCCTCTGATTACCTTTGTTCCTAGTATTTGGAATTTTTTTTAATAAGTTTTGAAAGCCATAATTAGAAACTGCTAAGAGTAAGATCTCATCTCAAAGCTTATCGGGAATGCTAATTTCTTGTAACGACCATACTGTGTCATTAGGTCTAACAATGTAGTAAATTATTTTTGTGAAAAACTTGCCTCAGGCAGGAAACATCTTGACGGAGGGATGTTCAGATTAAGCGGAGAGTTAGATGCCACCAATGTTTCATCGGACAGACCTTGAAACAGCAAATTCGAGACGATTCAGTAATTCTTCTTCACTAAATTGGCCTTTTTTTAAATTACCTTCCAAGTCGAAATAGATGACCGGAATGGCCAATACATGAGTGATCGCAAGCTGACAGGGGTTCCCAGCGTAAACTATTGCAACGTCAATGGTCTCCTTTCGAATGGTGTCCATCAAATTGGAGTTCAACATCTAGAAAGTGTAGACAAATAAACAAAAAGCTGAACTGCCTTGTAATCAGTAAACAACAGTGACTACGAGGCTCACTGGTTCAGCATACAGAAGAAACTGTGAAACAAATTGTGGGTCAGTTTTTATTTTTGAAAATAAATACCTAGCGAATGTGGTTTACACGGACATCGGGGGACTAGGTGACTACAAAAAATGGAAAAACCCTCTCTTAATCAAAGCTCAGGCTTTACTTAGGTAAGGCTTTTTTCATAATCCGTACCATATGACTTTCAGAATTAGCATAAAATTTTCGGGATCGAACAGCCCTTCCCAATGTGACATGTTGATCCCAGACTAGACCCATCAGGAGCTATAATGTGGTGCTAGACCTTTCGGGTCTCAGGAGACGGCTCGGTGTTGTCAGTTTTCTACTGTGGTCGTCTACATTGTAGGGAAAAGCTTCAGAGTGTCACTATCAGAGAGAGAAGGGCTCTCCTACATCAAAGCCTCACAACTAACGGTAGATCAGGTGATGGTAATCCGTAAGTACTTACCTTGTAACAACTCGCATTGTGAGCTTTCCAGTATACTTCGTCGTAACCTTCTTCCTCATACTCATTCTTCCATGGAGTGGCGTCATAGGCTTTTTGTAAAGCATCTGACAGTTCTCTAAATTATTGAACATCATTCGAGGAGTCTTTGATGATTGCCAGCATTTCTTATTCATAGATTGATTATCTATGTTGAAGTGTGTAACACTGATTCAAGTACAGGTAGAAAAGCAGCAAACAGTGGTGTCTCCATATGCATTGTTTGCCAAATTTCATAGAGACAGGAGAAATGTTATACTTGAATACTTGTTCGAGATCTAAGTATTTTCAGTGAATCTGTGGGACAGAATGAGAAGGTCTGCCCTAATTAGGCTGAAACTATAACCCATATTTCAACTACCTGCACTTGGGAAGGTCATAGAATTATTCTCTTTTCTGAATGGTAGGAATGGGAAGTTCCTAGAGTATTCATGTATGCCCAATGTTAGATCAAAGCGAAAAAGGTTTATGCATCTGTTCAACATGAACACAACTTGTAACTTTGTGGAAATCTTCCGGGGGAGTGACGGTAAGGCAACAGTCTGAGGGGAGAGGAAAAAACTCTCAGAGTTTGGTCGGGACTCGGGAGGTTGGAAGGCTTGGTTGGCCCAGGCGAATTCGATCCGGGATTCGAACCTTGAACCACTGTGCTTGTGGTATAGTGCACCACTGCCACTACACCACGTCGCGAATGGGATAACAAGATGAGAAAGTTAATACGATAACGCAAGATCAAGTATTAATATGTGCTGAGTGTGGCGGTCGAACTTCGAATGTTCTCTACACTACTGCCTGTACTTTACTTGTTCTATGCAGTGGGGTCTCACTAGACGATTGACGGTTTTAAGTCAAGGCCACTTTCTTGATTTATAAACCTCTATTATAGATTGTGGACATAACGTATCTTAAAATCATAAATTATCATGAATTAATCTTCGCTACACACCACTCAACCGCTAAAACGTTTCTTACGACCTAGCCAGTCGACAGAAAGCGGGATACTAGCAAACTCTCAAGGACCATAGCGCCTAAACGGCTTAACCGTAGTGTTTCAAAAATCGTAGTGGTCCCTTAGCTGTTATCGCTGATTCTTCAAAGAAAAGTTTGAGGCTGAGTTGGGAGTAGGCTCAAAGAACACGAAAAGCTCTAGAAATCTGTCATGCAAGGAAGGAGACCTCGGTTACGCCGTTTAGGGTAAGTCAGGTGGCCTTCCCAAGCACAGTTCCTGAGTGCAATTTAACTACCTCTTGTAGCGTTGTTCAGAGGATTCAGGTTTATTATTTCATAACTTGAAAGGGAAAAAATTGAACTCCCATGGCAACATCTCTTACCTCGGCAGCAAATTCTTCAATGTTTTCTCCTTCACCAGGTGGAGTTTGGGTTTGACAAGTCGAGGCTCTTCAGGAATCAAAATCGGCTTGACAGTGGTCACCTGATGATGTCGGAGAGCAAGTTGTTGGGCGAGAAACTCGAAAATGTTCCTTTCATACTGATTCGTGCCCAGTAAGAAGAGCAGAATATTCAGTGAGAAACATTGTGGAAGAAACCACAAGAAGGCGAGATACCGCATTCCCCAGTGCTGTAAAAATACTGTATAAGTAGTGAAACTGTGTTCATCTATTAATTAGGTCGAAAGTATTCCCCTCTTACAACTGACTGCAATTGAAGCTTTTGAGGATAAATAGCGAAGACCAAAGCTTGATTGCAGAGACCGGATCGTTTCAAACGAGTGACCACTTTGAGACTTTTCTCTCTACAATCTCTATAGGGTGTCACTTTTGTAGAAATATTCTAACTCGTAAAAGTTTTCTCAATCCGAAGTACAAATTACTTTTTATCTACTAGTTAGTTGGGGATTATTAATTGGGCTGCTATCCAAATGTGTTTCATATCACAAACTTGTCACCGGAACGTGTTGTTCGGTGGTTATGCTTCTCTACGCTCTCAGAAATGATGAAAGCCACACTGCTTGAGGATCAACAAGGACGGATAGGATGCAGTAATGGAATTTCGAGTGACAGGACCAATCAAAGATATATTTCTAATATGGGGGAGCAGTTTCGTACTGTAATATAAAGAAAAGTCTCCGGGATTCTTCTGAACGCTTCTGAGATTTTTGCAAATAAGTTTTTCGCTACATCACTGTTTCCAGTTATGAAAGTTACTGTGGTATTAACTCAGGTCAACCTTCCACAAGACTATTTTGAAGGATCTCTAAATTTGTGATTCCTCTGTAGAAATAAAGTGATCTCTGAGTGAGTGACCAGTGAAAAAAAAAGTCAAAGGCGAGTATAAGCCATTTACAAGTCATTACTTCCCATGGCTGACCAGTATGAAGGAAAAGTGAAAAGGAATAGATGAACGGTATTGATTTTAGGTTCATTTTCGGATGTAATGAGTGGACAAGGAGAGGTGCGAGTAAAAAGACGCTGAGCTCAACGGAGCAAGAGACCTTGGCTGGCACAGTAAATAAACTCCGTGCCAGTCATATTTGTTCGACGATGCCAGGGTCAGTCATCGGCCGATCAGCACTTTGAGTGACACTAAGTACTGAGATGATTTTCTACGTCGAGAAGCATGGGACCCAGAAAATTGAACAGAGTAGGGATTTTTCAGTCCCTGGGATCAACAACTTCCTCAGACAACTCGAGCATACAGCTTGTCAGCAAGGAGCTGACTGGAAATTCTACTCGAAATTTACCGCTCGCTCGACATTCTGCAACTGAAGCTTAGAATCATTAGGATTTCTCTGAAAGTGTTCCTATTGTTTGATAGGGTCAGTAAACCCTAATAGTCCAAGCATGCCATAAATCAGTCTCTATTCTACTGAAGGGGTTCACAACTCTGACCGCATGAAATGCCTTCAAAACAAGACTGTCCCTAGACGGCGAACTTGATGTATGATGTGAAAAACTGTAATAAAATTGTTGTCTATTCTGTTTTCTGACTTCTACTTCATTTCAATTACCGAATGGGTTAGTCATTGAGCGAACAGCCCCAATCCGTCAGAACAATATTTTGTAACACTTTCGATGACCATCCAATAGTCAGACCGACGGCCGGCTCAGTGTATGTTCGCGGCGCACTCTTACGAAGCAGCTCAGACATTTTTATATATTTATTACAACTATGTACATAATATTCACAACTCTTCAACCGAAATTTCTACACCTATTGATCACAGAGGATGCCTCGTGTGTGATAGTAAAGAGCCAGCCGGTCACGAGCGTATGCCCCGCAATCCATTATTGCCAAAGTATCCTGAAAACAAATAAATCTCAGCTGTATAAATAACTACCTGATCAGAATTTAAGACAACTGGTTACCTTTTCACAATACAGGTTGAAGATAGCCCAAAACAGATGAACGACCGGTTGGAACTGATTGATTTCCCGTAGAAGACTAAGCTCCGATTTGATGTGAATGTTCAACTGAAATCAGCAATTTCATGACTGTAGTGACACGACTACGTATAATGAAAGAGTAAGGTTTAACGTTAATCAATCTCATTTTTGGGATGCGCCACATATTCGACTTCCATTCAGAATCGTAGTGGCGATTTCAGCGCGCATTTGACTTATGCAATGGCTTGCGGTACCCAGCCATAACAAGTCGCTGTTTTTATCCTCCCAGACTGGTCTGCCAGCGATGAAGAGGCCACGAAGGAATGAAAGGTTCAGTTGACCTGGGCGAAGTTGAGCCGGGTTGCCTTCATACTACCTCCGCCCCCATATGAATACAATATTATGCTTTACTGATATGAATATTCTTTACTATATCCGCCTTCATCTCAAGAAAATGATAACTCTAACCTTCTAATACGGATTCTCTCCTCAGAAAACATGTATGTTCAACTGTTTAACTTCAGCTTGCCTTTTCAAAACAGTTGCTGGACTAACTCAAAATCGCCGCTGTGGATTATGAGTCGAAGTTAGACGCATGGCGCATTCGCAACATTTCTAGCGCGCTCAAAGCGAACTTCGCCCCCATGTCCTAATGATTGAAAATAAAGTGCCTCGGCAAGAAATATTACCTTTCTGGCTTCTCGTACGTATTCCTTACAGAATTCTATCTTCTTCGATCGATTCTGCAGTTCGATCAAATCGATTCGATAACGGGGATACTCACGTAGATTGTGTTCAATAGCCGACGCACAGAAGTAGTTGGCCAAATCGAAGCCTCTGTATGTGTAATGATAAAATGATCAATCAACAGAAGAAGTAAAGAATGGCTCACCGATAATTATAGGCGCTGAACTCAAAATCAACCAAATTCAGAGAGAGGCTCTCTTTGTCGTTTCCATTCAATGCAATCTCTCCAGTCACAGAGGGATTGACGGGCTTGCTCTTGCTAATCAGCAGATTTCCCGACTAAAATAGGTGGATGCAGAGTAAAAGGTAATTTTGTAAAATCGTTAAAAGAATTTATTTCTATCTGACATTATCAGCCAAGGCTTTCGAATTTCATATAGCCGCCTAGCCCCGATGGGAACATCACTGCCTCCAAAAACCCAAAAACAGCCAGGTTGTCGAACCCTTTTATGACCTCAGGCAGAAATATCACCCTCCCAGAAAAGCTTTCCCTTCAATCCCATACGGTTGCTATCTTCCTGCAGGAGACGTCGTTTTGACATTCACGTTCCGAAGATCTCCACAGCGGGAAATGAATTCACAAGTA